TTTGTTATGATTATTACTAGATAAAGTCCTCCAAATATCATTGATTCAAATTTCTATTTGTCATGGAAAGCCCAGGCACAGAAAAGACACTATTCTGCAACATTTTAGATGATATCATTTCTCTCTTAGTCTTGAAAATACTCATTAAAATAAACTGAAAGATTTAAAATTTTAAAATAGTCTCATATTAAAAGCATCTTGGATGTCCAGATTCTATTGTATGTTTTGTTTTCTTAACCTTTTTCATCCTAAACCCCTCAGATGCAATCTGGTGAACCTATGGGACCTCTTCTCAGAATAATTAAACTAAATTAAAATATACAAAATTTAAAGAAACCAAATTATATTAAAATATAATTATCAAATGTGTAAAAACAATTACCTAACTACAATGGTTGATCTAGGAACCCACCTAAATCACTCTGGAAAAATCTCCCAATCTCAAAATCCTTAATTTAATCCCATCTACAAAGTCCTTAACATTCAGTGTACAGGGATTAAGACCCGGATAATTTCAGAGATCATTAACCAGCCTCCCACTCAGGGCTTTCCAAACTTCACTGGTCCCCTAGTTGTCTCAGCCCTCCTTCCCCTCAGGGAGAATGGCCAAGACGGAAATCTGACAGCCACTGTTCAAGGAGCCCTCAGGCATGAAAAAACAAACAAACTGAGAATCCTTAAGATATAAGTAATGCTGTCATGTTTGAGCCATTATTCTACATAAAACTGTAATTTTTAAACAATGAAAGATCAAATCATTTCATAAGACATTTCCATAAAATATAAAACCATTGAGTGAAGAAATGTGTGGCAAATAGTGAGGCCTCTGTTCAGGGCTTTTCCCCCAGGCTCTCTATCCTGATAAGAGTTTCTGAACATGTGACTTCCTAAGAGGTGAATCACAGACATGATCTAAACATGCCCAGAGAAGAGACATACCTTTAAATCTCTCCCACTGATACTTAAAACACACTCAACCAAAAAGAAAGCTGTACAACACCAAGCTGAGAGAAATGCATTTCTTTTCCCATTAAAAAAGTAATATCAGCCGAAACCGGTTTGGCTCAGCGGTAGAGCGTTGGTCTGAAAGGTCCCAGGTTCGATTCCGGTCAAGGGCATGTACCTTGGTTGCGGGCACATCCCTGGTGGGGGGTATGCAAGAGGCAACTGGTCAATGTTTCTCTCTCATCAACGTTTCTAGCTCTCTATCTCTCTCCCTTCCTCTCTATAAAAAATCAATAAAATATATATTTTTTAAAATATCAATGCTAACAAAAGATAATCAAACTCAAACTGATCCCTGATAAGTTAATGCTAAGAATTATTTAAAAAACCACATTCTAATTCCAGCATTGCACATATATGATATATTCTATAAAAGGAAAAAGGGAAATAAAGTTCCCGTAGTTATACTATACCATCTGATACACTCCACATTTTTTTCACAAGGTTGGTCTCCTCTGCCCCTTGTTTTTCCATCACCTCTCCCTTTTTCTCTAGCTAGCTTAGCCTCTTTTATTCTCCAACTCTCCACACTTTGTCAGAGATACTTTGCTCCAACCATTTCTAAGATGCACTGCCTGTTACTGGCTTTCCATTTCAATGGTTGATGGAACTGTGTGGATGCAGACTTAACCCCCTGAGCACCAGACCTCTAGCCAAGCAGCAAGCAAAGCTGCTTTCAGGGGATTATACTGATCAAACCTCTCCAGTGGCTTCTCCTTAAGCCCAGGCTGAGTTCAAACTTCCTAAAAGACAGAGGAGGCCGTCCCTAATGGGGTTCATGCCTACATCCCAAACTATCCGTCAGCCCTCCCGGCCACTGGCACCCTACGCCTCAGCCTAGGCCTTCCCAAAGCATGCCAGAATAATTAGTAATTCTGCACACACTTCAGTGGAAATGGCCCCCTTCAACGGCCAACAATGTATTCATTATTCAAAACTCGGTTTGGAATCAGCGGCATGGTCAGGTTCCTCTAAAATAGTCCTTTAACTCTAGCCGAAGCCGGTTTAGCTCAGTGGTAGAGCGTCGGTCTGCAGACTGAAAGGTCCTGAGTTCGATTCCGGGCAAAAGCATGTACATTGGTTGCAGGCACATCCCTGGTAGGGGGTGTGCAGAAGGCAGCTGGTTGAAACTCTCATCGACATTTCTAGCTCTCTATCCCTCTCCCTTCCTCTCTGTAAAAAATCAATAAAATATATTTTTAAAAAATAAAATAAAATAGTCCTTTAACTCTAGCAAATCCCTCTTCCTTTGTCTTCTTACTGTTTACACCTGTTGCTCCTGAGGCACTTTAGACCCTCCATTGATATTTTACCCACAGCTCTGTGTTTTCATATTAAAATGTTTCCATATCATATTATAATCATTTTTGTACAGACACACCCATCCCCTAGTTCCCAGCACAATACTGGCACATATTAGATTGCTAAGAGCTGAATACAGAATTTTGCCTTTACCTTCTCTCTGCTTTTAAACCTTGCTTTGGGAAATATTAGCTGTGACTCATGTATACCTAGATCTAAGTATCAGCTCATACACAGGGCTAGCTGCTCTAGAAATCTATATTTCTAAACGTAAAAATAAAACTGGTTATCTCTGTTAAGTAAGCTCCAGAAAGTAGCAAGTTTTCGTGGCTGGAAGCCCTCACATCCTGAAAACATACCTTAAAGGTGCCCTAAGCCTGGCAGAAGGAAATACACCATGTGATTTGCAATCTGCAGAGTCTCAGGGTCAAAATAGACCTATTTTCACAACCAAAATGATAGTGGAGACCTCTTTTGAGCACATCCAGCAAGCTCCCAAAGAAGCCTGCTTCAGTTTTTGTAAGTGTCTTTAAAAAAACATACTTTAACACTGTTGAGCCCTCTGGCCAATAATGGATGAAATTGCAAAGTAATGAAGGAAGGAAATCCAGCATTGCAAAGTTTAAAATTAAAAAAAGCAAGGAGTACAAATCACTTTAGGGCACATTTTTGCTTTTTAAGTTTGAGACTCAAGAATGCTAGCCACCCTACAATAGTCGTATCTAGGAAAATCAAGATTAAAACAGGAAGCCGTTTGTGCATAAATTGCTATGGCAGGAAACTGATTAGTTCAGCAAAGAGACAGGATGCTTCTTGTCTCTATTGTTGTTTAATTCTGTGTCTCCTCCATGGCCAACTGCTCTGAGATAAAGGTCTGTAAAGTTGCCTCGTGAAAGCAGACTGAAGTACAATGAATAATGAATGCAGGACTAATACAAAAAGCACTGGCGGATGTTGCAAGGAAAATGAAATCAGTCAGCAGAGATGAGAGGGAAAGGCAGTCTAGTAATATTACCCAAAACAATACTGTGATCTATGGAATACCAAGTTCTAAATGATGGGCCCCTCATAAAGGAACACTATCAAAATAAGTAGCAGGCATGCTTTGAAAAAGTGCTTCTTCAGGATAATCTTTGTTTTTAAATATATATTTTTATTGATTTTTTACAGAGAGGAAAAGAGAGAGATAGAAAGTTAGAAATGTCAATGAGAGAGAAACATCGACCAGCTGCCTCTTGCACACCCCCCACTGGGGATGTGCCGCAACCAATGTATATGGCCTTGACTGGAATCAAACCTGGGACTTTTCAGTCCGCAGACCGACGCTCTACCAGTGAGCCAAACCGGCTTCAGCCAGAATAATCTTTTCTATGAAGCCTGAAGAATCCAAATTGGATTGCTTAACATCTGCCAAGACTTATCACTCAACACCCCACCCTGTGGTAGGCAGAATTTCAGCCCCACAAGGATGTCTCCCGGAACTGTGACTGAATTGCCTTACAAGGCAAAAGGAACTTTGCAGATGTGATTAAGGATAAAGACCTTGAGATGGGAGATTATCCTGGATTATCTTAATGTCCAACCTAAACACATAACTTTGGAGGTACCATCCCAGCTGGGTATAGAGGGAGACGTGACTACAGAAGAGATGCATCACTGCTGGCTTTGAAGATGGGGGGAGGGGGGGGGAATCCCTAATCAATGAATGTGGGTGGCTTCTGGAAGCTGGAAAAGGTGAGGAAACAGACTCTCCTCTGGAGCACTAAGGGAGGAATGTACCCATGCTGATCTGTGATTACGTCATGGTTAAATAATAAATAAGCATCGTTTTAAGCTAAGCCACGCAATGTGAGGCAATTTAATACAGTAGCAGCAGAAAACTGTTTTACACCCAGATTCTTCCAGAGTTTTTACTCAATCATGAAACACGATACACACGAAAACCAACTGGCATAACCTCAGAAATGACTGTCTAGCAGATCCCCTAACATTTGCACATGACTTATTTCTAAAATGCTTTCCTGAGAAGCAAACAGAGAAAGTTCTGAAACAGTAGATATTTCAAAAAGGTAATGAGAGATTCAATATGCACTTAAAAAAACACCTGACAACCCGGCCTGCATGGCTCAGTGGTTGAACATCAACCTATGAACCAGGAGGTCACGGTTCGATTGCCGGTCAGGGCACATGCCCGGGTTATAGGCTTGATGCCCAGTGTGGGCTGTGTGGGAGGCAGCCAGTCAGTGATTTTCTCTTATCCTTGATATTTCTACCTCTCTTTCTCTCTCTCTTCATCTCTAAAATCAATAAAGATAAATTAAGAAAAGAAAAAAAAAAAAAAAACTTGATAGATGATCAACTTCTTCCAATAAATCCAGTAGAAAATACCATTTGATGTACTTGAAATTCTTTTGTACTCAGTACAAAAGCCTTTATCTCTATGGCCTCCTCTACCTTCCTCTTCCCTTTTTCCTCCACACCCGATTTTGAAATATTTTTAGATGAAATTTTATAATAAATATTTGTTGGCAGGCATGTTTTCTAGAATTTATTACAGTGATAAAAACGACTGAAGTCCAATTTGCTAATTAAAACGATGCTGTTGGTGAACAATGTAGCATTGATTCACATTCCAGGCCTTGTTTAGATCTCACTGGTTAAATAAGGAGGAGCTAAAAATCCTTCTTACTCACCACTTTGCAGCAAAGGGGCCAAAACCACCACATCAAACCGATGCCCACGAGCAGCAGTAACACCAAAATGGCAATGATGGCTGCAATCCCATTAGACTGGAGGAGGAAGGAAAAAAACAAGATGGTCAGCAAAGCTAATGGTCAAGTCCTTGGACGAAAGGGGGCACATACCAAGAGCAGAGGAGCCTGCATGGTGAACCTTGCAAACTCAGAGACTGAGAGTAACCACAGAGGATGGTCTGAACACAAAAATCCTAAGTAAAAACAGGTCAAGGCCTGCAGTCACATCCTAGGACTGTACCTTCCTTGACAAAGGCCAACCTTTATCTTAAGTGAGCCTGTCTACTGTTATTATTACTATCATGTGTCTCTGTTTGATCCTGTCCGAGATTTCCGTTTTGCTTTCTCCTGCCCCTTTAATCTACCAACAATGGATTTCATGGAACTGTCCTTAGATCTCCTCCTTTGATACGTTTTTTGTTGTTTGTTGTGGCATTTTTGTTTGTTTGTTTGTGTGAAAAATTCTAGGGAATGCCCCCCTCCCTTTTTTTTTTCCTCAGAGAGAGAAAGGGAGAGAAATGTGAATTTGTTGTTCCACTTATTTATGCATTCATTGGTTAATTCTTATATGTGCCCTGACTAGGGATCAAACCCAAAACCTTGGTGTATCAGAACAATGCTCTAAGCTACCTGGCAGAGCTTTGATTCTAATGTATAAAATACACTGCGAAACAGGCATTCTCTGAAGCATTTTCTCAATCTGTTGAGATTTTGTTTCCCATCAATGTCAGTTTGGCTCAAATAAACTCTTAAAAATTCTCAAAATTCTCAACAGCTTGCCCTGGCCAGGTGGCTCAGGTGGCTGGAGAGTCATCCCACCAAAAAGGATGCAGGCTTGATTCCAGGTCAGGGCACAGAGCTAGGTTGCGAGTTTGATCCCCAGTCAGGGGGCATATGAGAGGCAATCGATTGATGTTTCTCACATCCATGTTTCTCAATATCTTTCTCTCCCTTCCTCTCTCTCTAAAAATCAATAAAAACATATCCTTGGCTGAGGATTAAAAATATTCTCAGCAGGAATGAATAATTCTTATTTATATCCAATACACATTTTTTTAGGAAACACCAGAAACCAACACAGGAAGCATAATAATGTCAAACCAGATTTCTATTCCTTTAAATTCTTTAAGGTATATAAACTTCTTTATATTCTATTTCATATATGTTATTATAAGGCAAATCATAATAAATATAAAATCTTCCAAAGTGCCAGAGATTGTTTTAAATGATGTCTTAAAGCAGTGTTTCCTAAACTTTTGACATATGTGTACCCCTTCTATAATTTTCTTAACTCTGAGTACCCATCCTACACAGTGTAAAGCTAAAGATTCCAAGGGGCAAGGTGTCTCTACCTAACCCATTCTGTGGAATCCCAGTAATAATCTATCTATCTTTCTTTCTTTCTTTCTTTCTTTCTTGCTTTCTTGCTTTCTTGCTTTCTTGCTTTCTCTCTCTCATGAGAACGTAGAATTAGGTGCAGCTAAGCACAGTGCAGTGCATATCCCCACCAAACTCCAGTGCAATGCGTACCCCCACCGAACTCTTCCCGTACCCCTGGGGGTACACGTGCCACACTTGGGGAAACATTGTGGAATGTAGAAAAGAATCACTACTTGGGTTGCAGGAATGGTCCCTATGATCCTTATCTTTCATCTCTGGGAAAGGATTGTTACCAGCATGATTACCTCCAGGCAGAATTTATGCAGAATTTCCCCAGACTTTTTGAGGATGGAAAACTATTTACTTTATATATTTAATGATAGAAGAGATGAATAACAAAAATCACCAAGGTGAAAAGTTAACAACAGCAGTTCTTGTTGGCAAATGCTAACACCAAACTCAAGAATGCACCAACTCAAGAATGCAGTCTCGTGCATTCATGTATCAGACAATCTCTCACGGCAGCTCGAACGCTCTCCCCACAAAAGCCACAGCGGTGTTCTCTACTTTCTCGTGTAGAGTTCCTCCAGCCCAAAGGCCCTTCGCTGGGCTCTGCCTCTAACCCCCTTCCTCTAGCAACCACCTGTGCATCCTTCACAGCGAAACTGAAAGCTGGAAAAGGTGACTGTGAACTCTAGGAAGCAGGGCTAGGTCCAGCCCACTTACCAGTGGATACTTTACGCTCAGCTATTTAATGAGGGAATGGCCTCCAAAGAAATAAGATGGCCCAATCCACAAACACAGAGAGGAATGTTGACTGAATTTTTAGTGTAAAGCTAAAGATTCCAAGGGGCAAGGTGTCTCTACCTAATCCATTCTGTGGAACCCCAGTAATAATCTTCCTTCCTTCCTTCCTTCCTTCTTCCTTCCTTCCTTCCTTCCTTCCTTCCTTCCTTCCTTCCTTCCTTCCTTCCTTTCTTTCTTTCTTTCTTTCTTTCTTTCTTTCTTTCTTTCTTTCTTTCTTTCTTTCTTTCTTTCTTTCTCTCTCTCTCTGTCTCTCTCTCTCTCTCTTTCTCTCTCTTTCTTTCTTTCTTTCTTTCTTTCTTTCTTTCTTCCTTTTAGGCAAAGAACTCAGGGAAAAAGAAGAAAACATCCATACACTGCCTGGATGAAGACATTACAAGGCACTTGAAAAGGCAGGTTTTCGGAGATACATTGTCTGGCATTCCAAACAATTCAATAGAAGCTCAGAAGTCAAGGGTAAGAGCCACATTTATCCCTCCCAACAGCTGATAGACCCAGAGGTTGGGGGCGGGGCAGAGAACCTACCAGTAGGGGTCTTAGAATGTCATTGTATTAAAAGAACTGAAAAATAGAGGCCCAGAGAAATTAAAGTTTGCTTAAAATTAGACCTTTATATTAAGCCATCAAATAAGAAAGCCAGTTGTTCCTGAAGCAAGAAACTCTGTGGAAAAGCCAGACTATTATATCTCTCTTAGAAAATTATCTTACCTATTCACATGTTTAAAGCTCTGAATGGGTTTGTAATAAAAAATAAAAAATAAATCCAATTTAATATCAGCACAGAAATCTTTGTTTATTCTACAGGTCCAGGAATTTACCTAGAATCCACTTTGGAAAATGTTAGCATCGATCAAATAGAGACTTTCTGATGTTTAAGCGAGAATGGTAGTAGCATTTAATTAGAACACTTTATAATGGAATTGGAAGTACATTACATAGTGACCTATGCACAAAAAAGAGATAATAATCTATATGCAAACAGTTATTTGAAAATAACTGGGGGGGGGGAGAAGAAGAAAAGGTAGTTTTCAAAAGTATTAGCAAGGAAGTGCTAGTGCTTAGTTCAGTTAACCTGAAAAATCTTAAAATGTGACATTTCCTGATCATCTGTTAATATCACAGTGAAAAGCAAAGCAAACAAGATTCTAGATAGTGGCTTGGAAACCGTTCCAAAACAAATCAATTTTCAAAGATATTTATTATTAGCAGGCTTTCAGTTTCAATAAAACCACTACAAAATAAGTTTTAAAACAATTCTCTGGGGAGCTGGGTGAAAAGATTAAGAAATAAAGATTGGTAGCTACAAAACAGTCACCGGGATGTAAAGTACGGCTCAAGGAACAGAGTCAATAACATTGTAATAACTATGTATGGGCCAGGTGGGTACTGGAAATAACAGGGGGATCGTTTTGTAAAGAACATGATTGTCTAACCACAATGCTATACATTGAAACTAATACAAAACAATGTTCAATGTAAACTGCAATTAAGAAATAATTTTTAAAATAATTGTCAGCATGCACCATAAACCATTAATTAACTTCAGAAATTTTCAGAAAAAGGTTTAGAATCAAGTACATGTGAACATTTAAAGCTGTCATTTGTTTTCTGAGATTTTCATCGAGATGGAAGAGGAAATAACCATGGAAGCTTCTTCTGTAACTGATATTAGGTAACAAATGAACTAAAACAGACACCATCAAAGTATCACTTAGAATCCTTGATCATTTACTTTCTCTTTCAGAAAACAAAAATAACTAAAAAATGTCACATCCTATCTTCACAGAGCTTTTCCATCTACTATCAAACCATTCTTAAGGCCCTCAAAAATGTTGTTACATGATATTTACCATAAAAAATAATTTAGCATAATAAATAAAAAGACATCTACACATCTAGCAACTTATTCACGTAGAGTTAGGGGGGATGAAAATGTAAGCTCCACATTTGGCCATTGATGTATCCTATCGATAACTATCTAAATAAGCATCTTGCACATAGAAAGAGATGTGTGTGTGTGAAGGGGAAGAAGGGACATATGTACATTATAGAAATTTTCCGGACAAATATTGAAGTTCTCTTTAAACCAAAGAAAATAATTCAAATATACATCAGGCTACTTAGGAAAATACTCAAAATACATCTTTCTACACCGAATTCTAAACATTGAAGAAAAATTATTCAACTCTTTACAGGTTTGATTATGCTTGGCTCTAAAATCCAGCAAACAGAAAAAACAATGTCAAAGAAATACATAAAAACTGTGACACCCGCCAAAACTGGTTTGGCTCAATGGATAGAGCGTCGGCCTGCAGACTCAAAAGTCCCGGGTTCGATTCCGGTCAAGGGCATGTACCTTGGTTGCGGGCACATTCCCAATAGGGGTTGTGCAAGAGGCAGCTGATCGATAATTCTCTCTCATCGATGTTTCTACCTCTCTATTCCTCTCTCTTCCTCTCTGTAAAAAGTTAATAAAATATATTTTTTTTAAAAAACTGTGATACCCTATGGAAGAAGTGCTATACAGCTTTCAAAAGTATTCTCTGAACATCTGGCTTCCTTTCTTAGAATTCAAACCTTGTGTTCAGAAATAAGGATATGCAACCAACCAGAGGGTATAGACCTGCTAAAAGTTTAGTGGTTAGTTTTTTTCTTTCTATGAATGTGTTATGAGTAGGACATTTGGAAAATGATGCTGACAGAATCTGAAGTAGATGGGCTGGGCATGATAAGCAATTAAAATTCTTGATTTTCTCTAAAAATAAATGTCCCTATTAGGAACAATTGACAAAACACTATTCATGTCTAGATGCAATCTACATTTAGTATGCCAGTATTATCTCAACTGATTC